AGGCGCACCCTCTTGTGGTCTCCCCCTTTTCTCCCCACAGGGCCATGGGGAACGGGAGGCGTGTTGGGGGCCATGGGGAACGGAAGGAGCGTTGGGGTCCGTGGGGTCTGTCTGGCAGCTTGGGGTGACACGGTGCCCGCGATGCGTGTCCAGCTGCTGTGGGGCTTCAGCCCCAGCCCAAGGAGCCGCTGCCGCGGTGAGGACGGCGCTGCAAGGAAAGTGGGGCCGAAGTTGTCTGTGCTGGAACTGCCCAAACAAATTATTTAAATCCAGAGGAAAGGGGGAAAAAAGGAAAAGAGCTGCTCTCCCCCAGCCTTCGACCTCCCCAGTTTCTCTTCTCCACCACAGATGGGTACTCAGTGCTCTGCAGCCTTTTGCTGCCCTGGCGGCCTCCTCCTGCACCACGATGCTCTGGGGAAGGCTGCAAGAAACAAGCATTTTCCTCTTTTATCCCCTCGGGATATGGGGTTTGCTGGGATGGGTTATTTTTATTCCACTAGACAACCTCAAGAAGTGTTTCAGGTGGCACCTGGCTGCTTTCAGGACCCTGTTGTCAACCTGCAGCTTCCTAGGCAGCTTCTCTGGTAGATGGGCTCATCCGTGGGAAACGGGGTCCTCTTTCTCTCCTGGGGTGAAAATCATGTAACATCTTTGTGCAAACAGTAAAATAAGGTTTTCCTCCTCTCCTAGGATCACCAAACCTGTGCCTATCAATATCAGTATTTCCCCTGAGAGAATCTTCACCAAAGACAAAGAGGACTTCGCTGCACAGAGGATGTTTACTGCCACAATCCCCTGATTCGAACTAACACTCCAGCTCTTACCTAAATTATTATTCATCTGTTTTCATCTGTTTTTATTATTATATATTTTTCAAAGAATAACACTCCTTTTTTTTTGTTTTTGTTGTTTTTTTTGAGAGCATTTTGGCTTCTCTGCCTTTTTTTTTTTTACCAAGGATCGGAGCAGTTACAGTTGGGGAATTCCTACTTGTACTTTCATTTTCTCTGTCTTTTTTTCACTGAGTGGCAAACAAAGGTGCTCAAAGACAGCGGTAATCGGCAGCTGATGGATGATGTGTGATGCACGGTGACACCAAGGCAATGGCCATGGTCTGCACAGCCCCTGTGTTCTGCGACCCTCAGGCTTGGCCGGGCTCTTCGGAGGCTTTCCCCGCCCTGGGTAAGTTGTAGCAAGATATCAGGCAATGGAGATCTGCAACGTATTTGGTTGCAAACATTTTGATTTTAAATTTCATGGCTGGGAGCAGCATGAAAGCCATTTTCCATTGTGGTTGGATGTTTTTATTTTCCTGGCAATCCTCAGTGACAAGTCTGTTTTATTATTATTTTTAATACATTTCTATTAGGTAGATAGTTCTAAGGCATTGGAGGAATAAAGCCAGGCCACTGCTGTCTGCAGGGATGTCTGTTTTTTTTTTTTTTAAAGATGAATCAGAAGCAAAATAAGTGTCTCAAAGTTGACTGGTGAAGCCACTAGGAACCAAAGTTTGTTGTATGAGAATTTCTGGTATTTTGCACTTTGTTTTGAAGAGCAGCTTGAATTTGAAAGCTCACAAGGGGGAATTTTTAAAGTTTCTGGTAGCTGAAATGTCATTTCCTTAACTGTGTTTGTTGTTGTTTTGATTTCTTTTTTTCTTTTTTTGGTGTGTCTCTATTTTTCTCTTAATTTTTCCATTACAAATAATTTTATTTGTATACTATAATTTATACTATAGAGTGAACTTTGTGCCGTATTATTTTTTGAACAGGAAACACAATATCCTTTCTAATAAGGTTCAGAGGTTGCATTTTTGGCAGCATAGAAAGGGCGTGAGGAGAACACTGGCTCTGGTTAAGTCTAATTTTCCCATCCAAATCCATGTGATTTGGTGGTTGTTTTTGTTAGATTACTGAATGAGAGTGGTTAGAGGACTTTTATAAATTGGGATTTTGACCCCTATTTTGATAGATGTCAGAGCTGGCTTGCTTTTTATGTTGCGCATACTGAAAGTTTCATCCAGAATGGGAATCTTACTATGGTCTTCTGCAGTGATATGGTGTATTCAGAGCATACAGCGGTATTACATAATTGGCAACTTGTGACATGATTTTGGCCATCGGAGTCAGAGACTAGTAAGAGTTTGCAGCATCATCAGTTTTGGGCTGGAAGGCAGCAGAGCCCAGCTAGATTATCCCCAACCTGCCCCTTGTTGAGCTGAACCAGGTCCACATCCTGGCCAAGTTGCGTTCTGGTGCTGCATCAACTCAGCACTGTCCGAGTTGGCAGGGAGCTGTGCTGGATTATGGGGGAAAAGATGTCGGCTTAGACCTGAGTCAGAGTTCCACGTGACTCATTTTTATCACAGCAGTAGCAGGTCCTCAAATGTCCAGACTCTGCGATTACTGCTGGTCTGAGTTGAGGATGCAGCTCATGGAGATGACAAAGCTCCACAGCTTTTCCCGGGATCAAAGGCAGAGCTTCTCCACCCATGTGATAGGAAAGCTTAGGAAGTGTGGACTAGATGAGTGGACCTTGAGGTGGATTGAGGACTGGCTGGATGGCAGAGCCCAGAGGGTGGTGATAAATGGGGCCGAGTCTGGTTGGAGGCCTGCGGCCAGTGGTGTCCCCCAGGGATCAGTACCAGACCCGGTGCTCTTCAAGTTGTTCATCAATGACTTGGATGAGGGCACAGAGGGCACACTCAGCAAGTTTGCAGATGGCACCAAACTGGATGGAGTGGTCGACACTCCCAAGGGCTGCGCTGCCCTTCAGAGGAACCTGGACAGGATGAACACGTTGGGCAGAGAGGAACCTCCTGAGGTTCAACAAGGACAAGTGCAGGGTCCTGCACCTGGGCAGGAATAACGCCAGGCACCAGCACAGACTCGGGGTTGACCTGCTGGAAAGCAGCCCTGTGAAGATGGATTTGGAAGTCCTGGTTGACAACAGGTTTACCATGAGGCAGCAATGTGCCCTCGTGGTCAAAGCCAATGGGCCCCTGGCCGGCACCAGCCACAAAGATAATAGACTGGAGCATTTGACATACAAGGAAACACTGAGTGAGCTGGGCCTGTTTAGTCTGGAGAAAAGAAGGCTGAGAGGAGATTTGATCAACATGTTCAAGTACCTGAGGGGTGACTGTAAGGAGGATGGGGCTGGGCTCTTCATGGTGGCCGGTGACAGGACGAGGGGTAACGGGTGTAAGTTGAAATACAGGTAGTTCCACCTCCATGTGAGGAAGAACTTCTTCACGGTGAGGGTGGCAGAACCCTGGCACAGGTTGCCCAGAGAGGCTGTGGAGTCTCCTTGCCTGGAGATCTTCCAAACCCATCTGGGTG